CCCCAAAACCCCAAAACCCCAAAACCCCAAAACCCCTAAAAAATATAAAATTATTGAAATATGAACGGTAAATTTTGTGCTGAGAGTTTAGAAACAGAGAAATTTGGAGGAGTGAGTGAGAGGATGAGTCTGGAAGTGCCTCTGATGCAGGAGGAAGGCAGTTGAGAGAGCTTGACTGAGGGAGAAGGTGAGGAGAGATTGGGGGTTTTGAGGGTTCTGGGCCTTGGAGTGGGGGATTTTGGTAGGGATGGTTTGGGAGAGATCTGTGAGGAGAAGGGTGAAATTTTGGGTTTTTGGGGAAATTTGGATTTTGTGATGAGGGTTTTTGGAGTTATATAGCATATTGGATTCTCTGTCCCATTTGAATACGTTTGTTCATTGAATTCAACACCTCTCTAGGACAAGAAGATAATGTTGAAGAAAAGAAAACTCCAAAGAAAATAATCAAAATTAGGAACCTTAAGAAGTTAACAGCGAAGCGAAATAAAGGATCTAGACAAAGGTCACGTAAAAAGAGTTTGACAAAGACTAAAAGCAAGAAAAAGTAAGTAAATTTTCTAACCTTATATTCTAGAAAAATATTCAAATAAATTATTGATGAGGAAGCAAAAGTTAACCAGGAAGTACAACAGGCCGAGAGGGATCTCCAAGATTGAGCCCTTTCAGACTCTGTAAGAACAATTTTAGATGATCTAATTTAGGGACCAAATCACTCCTAATTTTGATAACCATGTTTTGGCCAAAGATCCATTTCGAAGTAGAAATAATACCAGTGGTAAGTGAACTATTTCAGAAAATTTCCAAGAAAATGGCTTATTCTTATTGTCTAAATATAATCAACTTTGTATAGCGGGTATTGACTTTTATAATCCTGGTTCTCCTTTGAGAAGAGAGTTTGCCATGGTTTCCCACCCAACGCAGCTAGATACTTCATTAAGACAATATCGGACACACAGTAACAACCTTATCAGCAATCAAAAACAGAGAGGAATGTAGATATCCATGTAAAACTTTAGAGACAGAGTCTCACTCAGCGATATCAGAAGAATGGAGGAAGAGATGTACAAATAAACTAGGCTTGAGTAGCTACAACATGGACACTTTTCCAACATCCAGAAACTTCGGCATTTCAAACCCATTAACCCTCCCAGACCGGTTCAAAACTCTCCAAAAGAGGCCAGCTGACAAATCCGAGTAACCTCCCTTCCAAACCCCCTCTATAGCATCGAAACAGTCAAACATAGGTCTAGTGGTTTTATTTCAAAATTCAAGATTAGAAGAAAGACAACAATGAGGAGAATCTATGACAATATTAAGAGAAATCCTGACGGAGTGACTCTTGAAGGAGGAATGACTCATGATAACTTACTGAAGTTAATTAAATAAATCTAGACCAAACAAATTGTAAAGCTATCTAACCCACTTTTAGAAGAAGAAGAAATTCCCCAGCTAGGCTTCTTTCTTGACAAAAATCTTTAAAATCAGTTGAGGATACCAAAACTGAGAAGAAGGCTGTTCAAAATATGTCAGTGGAATGCTTTGATTTACCTCCCATTGCGCCTTCTAATCCAATCCAAGAGAAGATATCTCTTCTAGGCCAAAAATTTCTTGAAGACAATATACCTCTCGACATGTCTATGCGTCGGAAATCTATTGAAATTGATACTTTAGAGATGATTCAGAACATATCATCAGAGAGTCTCCCTCTTTTTGGCAAAATCCATGGTAATATTCTCTATCACCAATAGACAAAGAGGAGCTGTTCGAAGATTTCAGTAGGGATATTCAAGTAGATTTTCTGCACCAAAAGACAAAGTAACTCCCTGCTGATAAATATAGCACTCCACAACTGAAAGTGGGCAAAAGGATAGATTTAGACAACAATATTATGCTATTTGAGGAGGATTTTTACAGAAAGATTGATTTCCTCACATTTGAAAATAAGAAGTTGCTACAACCCAATATCTACAAGAAGAACTCCTTGCAGGTGCGCTCCAAGAATTCAGGTATGTTTCTCCCATAAAGTAGTAGATAAATCGATGAACCTTGGCATGAGGCTCCTGGGAAAAGTATTCAGTACGATAAAAGTCTCGACTTGTCTTAAATAAGAAAGAAAAAGGCAGTAATCTTTCTAAAATAATCTCTAGGAAATCAGGCAGAAATTGTTATTGATGGAGAGTTTTACAAAATTGGGGAACTGATCCATCCAAAACTTGCGAGGGTACGAACAGGGTTAGCAGGCCTTGAGATGAAATTTACAAACACCTCCCCTCAGCCTCCTGATGAACTGCAGATGGACAATAAGTTCACTAGCACAATTAGAATAGAGAACAGAAAGAACAAGATTATTGAGAATATCATTAAGGATAACAACTTTTCTCCTGTGAACAAAAATGAAGGGGATAATCAAGAATCTCAAGAAACGATTTTGCCAGTGAACAATAAGAACAAATAACAAAAGCAAGTTTAGTAAGAGCAAAATGCATGAGAAAATGTCTGAGATCTCAGCTAGTTCTTTTTCTAGGTGCTCTTCAGACAACAGTGGTATTGTCCCTTTGGTAATTTTTAGATGAGCCAAGGAGAAATATTAACAGAGAGACAAATCAACCAAGTTTGGTTATCGAAAATCTGAGCCCTAAATAAGGATGAAACTCTAGATTCTAAGAACAAGGTCTCTGCTGATTCTTCAGGAAAGGAAGAGAAGAAATCAGAAGACCAAAAGAAACCTAAAATTAATGGCATGCTTCAGAATACGGCTAACAAAGTTATCCAATCAAAGAAGAAGAAGTTACCTTCTTCCTTCACAGAGCTGTTTAATTCAAATGCTAGATTTCAACAAGCTGTGAAGATAAACAGGGCTGAGACTCAAAACGACTCTGAGATGAGGATCTTTAGAGCCTCGATGGTGGAGCCTCCAATAATCTCAATGCCTGAAATGACCAAGTGTGAGTTAGAGCTGATCTCAAAGTTCACAACTGGGTACTCCTATGCAGTAGATATCAATGAGGACAAGCTCTTCAGCTTAAACCAGGTTAGGGAAATACAAGCACTATATGAATCAAGCGATCACTTGATCCAGGAAATTACTGAAGGATTCTCTCTGATCCATGAGAAAGTATTTAGCTTCTTAAACTGTGACAACTCAAAAGTAACAAATGATGCTGATAGGATGAACGACGATAACGTAAAACAGTTACTAACACAAGTTAACTTTGCAAATGCAAAAAGAGGGAACAAGCTTATGGCCTTCAAACATGCTTCTTCCCAATCGATTAATGACTTGAAAGATCAGAGCAAGCATCAGGAGATTGAGAGGATAACGAAGGAATACAGCAAACAAAATTTTTATGAAATTAGTTTGAATAGAGTACTTGGAGAAGGCAGAACTATACCTAGATCGAATAGATTTATAGATATTAAGTTTTTGGGCATTGTGAGTTATATAAGTAAGTTTTAAACTATTTCTGAGGGTTTGGAATTGAATTTTAAACCAAGAGGTATAAATTTCATATAGATTATTTTAACATTCTGAGGAAAGAAGGAATGTTTATGTGAAATTATAATAATGTCTCAAAGTGGTTTTTAAGAAAATAAAAAGAAATCAAACTGGGAAAGTTATATCCGAAATATTCAAGAAAATTCTTTGGATTTAGTCTATAAAGAACAAAGAGTACTCTAATAATATCTAATCTTTATTAGAAAGTAAACAGTTGGCTATATCAGAGAGATAGTGTCCGAGAACTCCAGGATATCATATTCTTTGACGTCAGTGCCCAAAGATCTCCCAGAATTCATGCTAGTCCCGAATATCAAGCTGGAATCATGAAGAAAGTGGATGAATTATATTTAAAATTTTACATCAAGTAAGAACTGACACAAGGAATTTTAATATTTCTTTTTAGGTTAAGCATGTTCAAATTATATATTTTCCCTAAAGACTTACTATGAATTGCATTAGCATTATTCTTCACATATTATGCTCACCATGAAGCCTTCTTTTCAAAGACTTCTTCCTGAACATTAAAATATTAATTGGACCTTGATTCTCTGAGCAATCCATAATGTTATAGAGCAAGATCGACCCAAGCAGAGTTGGTCAAGCCAAAGATGTATAAATCTAAAAAGGCCTTCCAAAGATATGAGACTAAACCACTTAACTCCTTATCATTCTCAGGTGATGTCAGCGTAATCCCTTACGGGATCAAAGAAAGGAGTAACACAAAGAGAACAAGGGGGAGCATTCTCATTAAAGAAGATACCTTTGAAGTTAAGGGAAGCCCCTAACTTAAGGTTCAACTCCTTTAGGAACAAGTTGAAAAACATTGATCGCCATGTACCTTCTAATAAGATTTTGTTCGATGAAGATACAATCTCATGCATCTCATCTGAAGATGAGACCAATGGATTCTATCTTTCTAATCTTTTCGGGTACAAATGCATTAATGTTCGAAGATATTACGAAGGGATCTTCGAAATATTCGAACCTAAGGTAATTCAACTTATCATTCTGTAGAAATTAGAGAGAAAAATAGAAGATCAATGGGAAATCACTGAAACAGAATCATCACAATTTGGAGAATCTTCAGAGATTGGTTCTATCAAAGAGTACCGGATGAAGTTAAAGCTTGGAGTTGGCAACAATGAGTCCAGGAATGACTCCGCTCCTGTTCATTTAAACTTAAATAAGATTAATACTCATGATGAGGGAAGACTACCTATAAAGGCTGTTGTAAAGTCATTCTCAAAATCTCCATCCTCATTTATTCTCAAAGATAACCTGATGAATGTGAATATATCGAAAATGGTTGAATCAAACAGTGATGGATCTTCAATTGTACTTCCAAGAGACCGATGGATGAACAAGTATACAAAGAGGAATAAGTTACACACTTTCTATTCTTCGATGCCTAGGCACAAGACGATCGAGTCTGTGTCAGCTTCGTCCATTTCCTCAAGCCTATCACAAAACGGCTCGCTAATTATTGAAAAATAGACCAGCTTGGAAGATGATAGATGTTCTTAAGAACTCCCCAATCCTAAAAAACACTCTTCTCGGAAGAATGTTGAACCTGAAGAAACGGGAGAAAGTAAAATTCTTCCGTCAGAAATCCTTACTGAGAAAAATAGCGACTGAATCTAAATTTACTAAGACAGCCAAAAACTTAATCTATGATGCTGAGAAATAGTGATGAGAGTGATAGCTGGGTTAATAATAATCAGTACGAAGAAAAGATAGTCGAAGAGACAGAGTACTCCTGTATTTCTCCAATGGTTAGACGAGATTTCGACCTGGAGTCCGAGCCACTTGAAGAAAGCAAGGCTAATCAGGACATCATTGAATCCCCTTGCCATTTATTCACAAATGGAGTGATTCAAGAGATGGAGGAGGAAACTGAAGGAAAATAATGATGCTTTAGAAGTAAATATCAGCAAAATCCGAACGATGGAGAGGTATAATACTCCAAATATTAACAGGTAAGCATACTCCTCACCGAATAGAACCAAACTTGTCAACGATCAGAATGTGTTTAAAAAGTCCTCTACTAATATGAAGATGGCAGATAAGAAGAAATTCCTACCTTATAAGAAGCCAAAGAGGAAAATCAATATGAAGAAGCTTAGGAAATTAGTAAAGAAAAGTCGAGTCTTAATGAACACTGAAGATATTAGGCTTGGACAGCATCAGAAGTTAGAAAAGACACAGAAAGAGTATGCAAAACTACTCCTATTTATTATTGGGCAAGGAGAAGCAAGCAGACTGATAGACTTCCTAGAGGGTGCAGCCCTCATACAAAGCTCAGCCATCAGTAAGTCTTTGCTAACTCTTTAGACCAACCAGATGAAGATGGGAATACTCCCTTTAGCGTAGCATGTCAGAATGGAGACTCTGAGATTGTTGAAATCTTAATAAAAGCTGGAGCTGAACTAAACACACAGAATAATAAAGGTACTATTGGTTTTAATCTATAGGAAATACCCCTCTACATTATGCCTGCACGTACAATTTCATTCGAGTCAGAAATCTGCTGATTAAGAATGGAGCAAATGAGACTATTAAGAATCACGGAGGCAGGATCCCCTGGGAGGGAATTTAAATTCATTTTTCATAATTCAATAAATAACACTAAATTTGGGGTTTTGGGGTTTTGGGGTTTTGGGGTTTTGGGG